AGCTAAAAGTTCCAAATCATCCGCCAAATGCATGTGAGACGAAAATAGATGCTCACAGCTATTTTTAAAATGTAAATATTTACTAAATGAATATGCTACACGTACTATATATGGCTGAAAAAAAAGTGCGAATTCTAGCACCTCGCGCTTGAGCTACCGCGCGCGCACTACGCGACGTATACGTAACCAATTTAGCTAAGACGGCAATTGAGTCATTACAATCAACATGAAAATGTTGCGATAAGCGTTTATTAATAAAACTAAGCGCAAGCAGACGTAGCTACGGTTGTTTATATATATGTAGGCATATATAAGTATATACATATGCACATACACATACATCAGCAAATAAGCGCGTGAATTTTTGGCTGACTCTTAAAATTTCATGTGTTGTCGGCGCACGTTGTGTGCAAACACAATTTCGGTTATATGTATGTAGTTATACGCAGTATAGTTCGTATATAAGCTGCGCGCGCGTTAATTAAAAACAGCATCACAAGCAGTAATGCACAACCACGTGTACATATAAAGGCTAACTGGCGCTACTGCTAAATGACAGCTAAGCCAGTCTCACCAAAAGTACTTGAGTCTTAATTAAATTAGCATATTTGTGCACCGAAATTAATTGTTTGAATGTAATAATGGCGTATATACATACAAATACATTGAGTATATATATATATACATACATATTTACATGCACATATAAAAGTATCTAGCTTAATATGCGACACACGTAGTTTAGCTTGTGTTGAGTGGTAGTAAATAGCAAGAAATACACATACATACACAAAATATATATTTATATACATTTATAATGCTAATGTATAGCCAAACGTATATATAAAGCTCTTTAGTGTCCTCCAATAAACACATTTATTTAACAACACCAACGGCATTTAACGCGTATTCCCTCGGCACTTCAACCCATGCCTCATTTTTCTTCTGACAACTCCCGTAATTTGCTGTTTAAACGCTTTAGCTGTCATACCTGAAGTCGTAGGTAGATTTAAAACTTATGCCTGAAGATCTTAATTAACCGTAATACCGCAAATAATTGGTACGTATGGCGCTTTTTTTATGGCTGACTGCGTGTCAAATTTTGTTATATGTATATATGTGAGTTTATATGTGCATTTGCATGTTTAAAAATACACTTTAATGCCCTTGATTAATGTATTTTTGCAATTGCAATAAATAATTGGCATTTTGGGTACATTTTGGTTACGTAAATTTAAAGCGAGTAAAATTTTCAATTTTTATCTCATATAGAAAATTTAATTCATTATCGTTTTCTACCCTACATTAGTCAGCAAAATGTATTATTGAAATGCCATTATTTTGCAATTAAGTTTGAAAATTCTCAAACTCATAAATAGTTTAATATATTTTGTTTAAGGCTAAGTGCTCTTTAAACTAATATATTTAAAAATACCTCGAACTTTTTGAATTTTCAAAATAAGCATACAAATACAATACGAACTTTGTGCCTGAACAAATAATTTTGGGGAAATTCTTCTTCGTTACTTTAATATGAGGAAAACTTCCGCCGAAACTCATCATATTTTAGTAAAAATATATAGTGAACATGCTATAGCTGAGCAAATGCGCCCAAAGTGGTTTGCACGATTTAAAATTAGTGATTTTGGCTTGGAATACGAAGAACTGGTCCTGGATGACCAAAATAGTCAGAAAAGGCCAATCAGCCATTTTAAAAGCAAAACCGAAGAGGCAATAATTTTGCATCATGATAATGCTCGGTCTCATGTTGCAAGAACAGGTATCCAAAATTGGCTTGATTAATTTTTGATCGATAAGCCGGCGCAGTTTTTTTGGAATGGAACGCAAAAACAGTCAGAGAAGTGAAAATATTTATAGCTTCCGATGAGCAATACTTCAAATAATACATGTTATCCTCAAAAAAAAATTGTCGAAAAAAACAAATTAGTTAACAGTAAAGAATTAATAAAAAACTATAAATACATACAAATATTTAATAAAAATTGTATCTCTTTATTCCTCCAAAACACCCTTCCACCTTGAAACTCTGGGAGAATATATATATATATATATATATAATGATATAAATATATGTTCCACAAAAAGTGTCACCTTTTATTTTTTAATACAAAAAATATATATATGTTAGACGCGTAGCGTTTATCTAATAAACTATAATTAGTGTCTGACCATAATAACTACATCTGAGATATCTGTATAAAGTCAATAATATGAATGAGGCACCAAAAAATAAAAATGAGTAAGCAGCTATTAAATTTGGAATAAGAAATGCATAGCAAAAGAGAAAAATATTGATTTTATCTGTACTTTATACAGATTGCTTTGAGTGACTCAAAAAGTTGGAGCTGAATAAAAAAATATGTTCGTTAACTATAATAAATAATATATGAGGAGCAGCTTAACGAGATGTTCATAGACTTTTAATGACGTTGAATAATTCTTTCGATTAGTGAGCAGTTTTTATTAATTTTATAAATTACAATAATTCACACCTTTGTGATTTTTGACAAGTGCAACAATTCAGTATTATGTTCTTCAAAGCTTTTACAAATTTATAATTATACAAGATGGCAGCTTTCTGAACAATTTGATAATTTAGCACTGTATATAGTATATGATTTTTTAGTGATTTTCTGAACAAGTGGAACACTTTATTTTTTGGGTTCTTGATAGCTTATACAAATTTATAATTTTATGCCCTTTGTTATATATATATTAATATAACTATATATATATATAAACATATGTACCATAAGTACAATGTACATATATGTATGTAAAAAAAATTTAAATTTATCAAAAAAGGATCTGAGTTTCCTTTCTTAGCAATTAAGAACCGATATATAAAAAACTTAAAACGTCAAGAAGTCAGTTTAAAAACATTATGAGTTTTGTTTAATTTAATATTTACTATCAAATATGACCTTAAAAAATCCACTAACCAAAGTTATAATTTTTTTTTTGTTATTTGCTAAGTCATATATGTCATTACTTATACAACTAAATGTTGCCAAGAATAACAAGTATGATTATGAGAGTAGAAAAAATGAGAAAGAAACCAACTTATGTGGTAAATTCTGGGTGAATAACAAATAGTTTAGCACACGTTGCCTACATTTCAGCGCATTTGTTAATTATTTTAATATCTGGTAGTAGATAAATTCCAAAAGCGACATTGTGGCTAAATATATGTATACACTTAAAAATGCTGAAAACTTCGAAAGACAAATTTTATGTATTTTTTTCAATAGAAAAATCATATTTCGTTGTGTCGAAAATAATATAAAACCTGAGCATACACCTTAAATGTATGCTAAAAATTTGTTATTAATGAAATATAGTTAGCAAATGTAAACTTATGTGTTATTGAAATTTGTTATTTTTTGTAAAGCTTAAAACTTTTTGAGAAGTTGTCAGCTACCTGCAACTATCGACTTTCCAGACAGAAACTTTAAAATTAGTCTTATTTCATAGGTATTTTATATTTATAAAGATTTTTGAAAGTGCATGTTTTTCCAAAAATTATGAAAGGCTTTATCTGATCGTTGTATTATTAGAACATCTGACAGAAAGGTCAAAAAATATTTTTTTTTTTAAATTTTCTCAGAGAAAATTGTTCATTACATTTCTATAGTATTACTCAGAAAAATTTTGGCATTTTTAGAATTTTTATTGAATTACAATTTTTTGTAAGCTTCATTTTGTGTTTCACCCCAAAGCAAAAATTATTTATTTGTTCAAAAAAATATTTATTTTTTATGAAAATATCTGAGAAAAAGGTATCTAAAATATAGGTCATCAAAATTCCCGCAATAACAAGTATGCAATTAAATTTTGTATTAAAACATATTTTTCTTTTCAATTTAAATTTAATTTATATTAATTTTAAGAATATTATTAATTAAATAAAGCGCACACTTTTAGAATTTTTATTAAATTAAACTTTTTTGTTTATTCTCAAATAAAATTTTTATTTCTGAATTGTTTCTTTATTTTTAAAACTATATTAGTTAACTAAAGCATACATTTTTAGAATTTTTTTTTAATTCAATTGTTTTTTTTTTGAAATATTTTTTTATATTTTTTCTGAATTAAAACTTTTTCAATAATCTAATTACTTTTTTTTTGAATATTATTGACAAACTAAAACAAAAATTGGTTCCGTATAAGTATTGAAGGTGAGATATTAGCGAATTTTTATTAAGTTGAGATATAAAATTAGTTTTATTTTCAGCAATTTTGCTAAATATGATTTATCTTAACCAAAATTAATTTGCTTTTATATTGCCTATTTCTTAAATGACCTATGTAATCTAATTAAAACTTTTGAAAACTATTACATTTTATGATTAATTTTAATAAAAAGAAAATTATTTAATTTAAAAAAATTAAATTTAAAGAATTTTAGCGAGTAAGTCTTTTTTAAATATTTTTTATTATATTAAATTAAGTATTTAATGAATTTCTGCGATTTTTTGATACAATATTTTATTTTCTTTTATTTCCAAAAAAACTTACTTAAATATCAGAAAAAAAACATTTGTCTTTAAATTTCTTTAACTCTAATATGAAATGAATTTCGGCGAGTTTTTTTTTTTTAATATTTTTATACAATATTCTCTTAGATTATACTCCAACAAAACTTACAACACAAAAATCAGAGAAAAAAATACTTTGACACTAATATTTGCAGTATTTCTGCGAGGAAGTTTTACGTTTAAATACTTCATTGCAACATTTTATTTGAAGTCACTACAATAAAAACTTACTTCAAAATTTACAAAAAACAGATTTGCTTTTAAACTTCTTAGACTTCAATATACATCGAATTTCTACGAAATTTTTTTATTTTATTTAACTCCAAAACTTGAAAAATTAGATTAAAAATTTCCCTTTAAAATTTTTTAACTTAATACTTAATCTAATTACATATATCTTATCTTTTTGATATTTCATACACCACTACTTCGAAAACTCACCTTTTAGTAAATTTAGAAATTTGATATTTCTCACGTTTAACACAATTTCAGCTTTTCGCAGCGTAAATGTTGACTTTTCACAGTTTTATTGCAAATCTATTTGAGTTTTTACCAACACTACGTTTCACTTACACTTTTCACACAACGCCAGAAACACACTCTCGAACTTTCAAATATAACTGTTATTTATATAACCAATAAGTATTTTTGAAGCAAGTCAAGTGCTTAAGCACAGCTCAAACTGTTTGCTGCCTGGTCACTACCGCTGGTAGAGTGCACTGCTTTGGAGATCTGAATGAACAGTGAAAGCAACTCGGCACGGCTGGCGAGATTTATAGTGCACGGTGGACGGCAACGCAGCGCCAGGCAGCGACGCAGCAACGGCGGAAAGCAGAGTTGTACGATACACGAGGCACACGAGCGACGAACTTCATAAGTGGAGTAGCTGTAGCAATAACAACAATAGCAACGGCAAAAGCACGAGCAACCGATTGACGAGCACGTAGCACAGCTGTGCGTGTGTGTATGTACAGTTATTTCATGTATGTGTGTGTCTGTACTTTATATGTGCGTGTATCTATTTTATATAAGTGTGTGTGCGTGCTCGTACAACTGTTGAACAGTTATCACACGACATTTAGCGGCAATTTTTGGCGGCAACAGTTATGTTTCGAAATTCAACAATTAAACGGAAGTGGAGAGTTACGACCACACGACAAAATACGAGCTAACGAGCACACACAATATACACAATATATGCAAATTGCATATTGTAGGTTAATGGGCGCCAACTTTCGCCACAGGTGAGCGCACACACGAGCACACTAACGACGAGAAGGACTACGACCACGACAACGACGAGGAGGACGATGCGGCGAAACGGAAACGATTGTGCGCATTGACGGTGCAAAAGTGGAGAGACGCGCGAGCAGTTGGACAAATAGACGCACCTACAAACTGATAGGCAGACAGTCAGCTAGCACAGCCAGTACCGCAGCTCAAAAAGTGTAGTGTGAGAGTGTGAAGAGCCAGCAACAGCCGTCGCTCGAGTGCGCTCGCACTGGCTCAATGAGGCGTGCAATGCAACGGTGGCGTATGAGCAACACTTGCACGCTTTGTCAACGCTGCGGCATCGTGCAACACGTGGTCATGTGGCAACAGCACATTTGCATCGTTAATTTTGAATTTTTCCAGCAATTGACAGAAGGCTAAAATTTCACATATACATATGTACGTACACATACGCACATATCCATACATAGAGATATACACATACTGTCATAACGGCGCATTTCTACATTTGCAAGCTGCGGTTTGTTGTCAATAAATCGCTTTGCAATTTGCGCCAAATTATTTTGCTGCTTAATTGTTATTACGTTTTGTGCAGCAAAATATTGTGGCAACGCGTCTATGGCGCTTTTTGCGATTTCCCCCCCGATTTCTTATTTGATTTTTTAGTTTATGTAAGTGCGTATGTGTGCGTGTACTTTGCCTTTGCTTATCAATTCATCATCAATTATACAATAATTGATAATTATCATTTATGGTATTCTTTGCTATTAGATACGATTTAGTCAACGCAATGACAGTGTGGAATGGAATGATGGAACGCTTCCACATACTATAATATGTAATTAATTATCAAACGTTTTGTAGTTCATAATAAAACGATAAAATAATTGGTTATAAAGAAATTCGGTTTAACGGGATAGACATTGCAGGCACACACCTACAAATTTGTGTAGAATGTATACACAGGTACAGGCCAGCATAACTCAAGCATACAATATCGGTAAAAGCATTTACAACAACTATTCAAATAATAGAGGTTAATTTAAGATAACGTTTCAGCACTATTAAATATTAAAAAATCATCATTCGATCACATTTGATACTTAAGTTAAGCTATACATAGCACACGTAATCACTTAGTCCAATATATAATATTTATATAAGGTTGTCAAATATCTCCCTTCCGCTTTTTTGCTCTTCATTTAATGCTTTATAAAAAGTGTTACAGTGATCGGATTTAGTTAAAATATTCGATGATCTGTTTCCATCTAGACGGCAACTTCATAATACCTTCCTCGTAGAAGCCCCCCTCCTTATTTGCGAAGAATTCGGACAGCCACTTTTCACAAGCCTCTTTTGAGTTCAACTTCACACCACCAAGGGCATTCGCCATGGACAGAAACAGGTGGTAATCACTTGGCGCTACGTCCGGGCTATATGGTGGATGCGATAAAACCTCCCATCCGAGCTCCCGTAGCTTCTGACGAGTCATCAACGAAGTGTGTGGTCTGGCGTTGTCCTGGTGGAACACTACACCCTTCCTGTTGGCCAATTCTGGACGCTTCTGGTCGATCGCCTGCTTCAAGCGGTCCAGTTGTTCGCAGTAGATGGTAGAATTAAGCGTCTGGCCATATGGGAGCAGCTCATAGTGGATGATTCCCTTCCAATCCCACCAAACACACAGCAAAACCTTCCTGGCCGCCAATCCCGGCTTGGCCACTGTTTGGGACGATTCACCGGCCTTCGACCACGACCGTTTTCGCTTGATATTGTCGTATGTGATCCATTTTTCGTCGCCAGTCACCATCCGCTTCAAGAATGGGACGAGTTCGTTCCGTTTCAGCAGCATATCGCAGGCGTTGATTCGGTCCAGAAGGTTTTTTTGCGTCAAATTATGCGACACCCAAACATCAAACTTTTTTTTGTATCCAGCCTTCTGCAGATGGTTCAAAATGGTTTGGTGACTAACTCCCATCTCCTGGGCGATGTCACGAGATGCCATATGCCGGTCTAACTCGATGTATTCCATGATTTGATCGGTATTTGTCGTCACAGGTCTTCCGCCGGCTGGCTTATCCATGGTGTCGTTTTCACCGGCTCTGAATCGTCGAAACCATTCCTCCGCGGTTCGAAGTGATAGAGTACCATCCCCCAAAACACCATTAATCTCACGGAACGTTTCTCTAGCGGATTTGCCTTTAACGAAGGAAAACTTTAAAATAGCGCGAATTTCGGCGTTAGTGAACTCCATGTTTACACGTCTATAACTGTTGAACGCAATATCCAAACTAATCATGCATAGCGTTGTTTTGTAGGTTATGTCAAGACCTTTCAAATTATGTATAGTGTTGCCAGATACGAGCTCTGTAGCGCTTTGTACATAGCCGCGAAATTCAAAAGACAAAAAAGCGGAAGAGAGATATTTGACAACCTTATATTAAAATCAATCTAACTACAAATATCTATATACATCATATGGGCGCTAAAGAAAGGGATACATACTGCATACAGTTTTGTTCTCGAATAATATAATGCTAATTTATATAATCTTGTTTAATTTAATTGATATATCTCTCATTGAGTTATATGCGATATAAAATCAACCAAAGGCACGAAATATGAGGGAAAAGTAACTGTAGACGCGGATACCTTTATATAAGTGGTTTTGATTTAATTAATGTTTAAATAATTACTTAATAAAGCGATTAAGAAAATACTTAGTTTCATCAAAATATCGTACATATAGACCTAAATAAAATATTTAAAGTCAACTGGAAAATCGGAAAACACTATATTACAAGTAGATATATGGGCGTTAGAAAAAGTATTGACTCAATAACAACTATTATCGGCGCACTGACAAACAATTATCATAGAATGACGTTCTCTGAGTTCCATTAAACTAACTCACATATCCAGCGATATAAACGGTATAGAGCCAATCGGAAGTTTGAAAACCTTATATTATTTATACGGGACATAAGTATTGAGCCGAGTTTATCAATTTTTTACATTACCACATATTATTACTACTCCTAATTCAGTTTCCTTAAGGTAGGTCACATACCAACACCAATATACTATAAAGAGTAAAGTCAACCGTTGTTTGCAAATTAATTATATGGAGGCAAGTTTTCACCAGATTTTATCCATTTTAGGCACAAATGTGCAACGTTGCTAGTAAAACATGCTCTCTAAATTATATACATATTACGCGGTATAACACAAGGGCTGAAAAGTCACGGGCCTAACAAAGAAAACACGGTTTTGTTTTGTTCAAAGTTGGCTTTATTCATCAATATGATATCCATCAAGAGCAACACAATCATTCCAGCGCCGCTCAACATTTCAATACCACTTTTGTAGAACGATTTGTTTTTGCTTCAGTTCCTGTGATAACCTCATTATTCGAGCGAAATTTTTTAACGTCGAGATCTGCGAACAACCAATAGTCGCTAGGAGCCAATTCTGGAGAAAAAGGTGGATGCGGCAGTAATTTGAAATGCGATTCATGCATATTTTTCATTGTTTTGATTGACTTGTGGCACGGTGCATTATCTTGATGAAACAAAATTTTTTTCTTTGCCATAAGTGTTCGCTTTTTTACAATTTCGATCCTCAAACCTTCGCATAATGCTATGCAGTAGTCACTTTTGATGGTGTTTCTCTTCTCAAAATAGTCGATGAATATTACTTTATATATTTATATCCCAAATATAATATTTGATATCCCAAAATATCGAGGCCATAACCTTTCCAGCTAATTGTTGTGCTTTCGAGCGCTTATACGAGGTTCACCAGCTGCTGTCCAGTCAGATGACAACCGTTTTGATTCCGGAGTGAAGTGATAGAGAAATGGAGATAGAAGTCAGCAAACCAACGTTTTACTGTGAGTTCTGATGGTGCGGAATCTATATAACACTTTTCAAGTTATTGCTTCACTTCAATGGTATTTTCTCCCATCAAGAAGCAGTGTAAAATTAAAAGGCGAAATTGTTTACCATCCATTGTTTTTAAAATAACAAACGAAGCGTCACTCTTAGCACAATAACACGCAAACTAAAGAATAGAATGACATGAAATTTTAGCAGCTGTCTTTTGAAAGTTAGAACTAACTGAAAATGAGGTTCAAGAAAATTAGCGCCAACTATGTGTGAGGCCCGGGACTTTTTAGCTCATGTGCTATGCAGCATAATGTCAATCGGAAGTTCGAAAAATTTTATATAAGGTAAATGGGTGCTAAGAGAAATATTGACCCGATTTTACCCATTTTTAATACAACGGCATATTTTCATCAGAAAAATATGGTTTCAGAATTTTATTAATATACCCGAAAGATTCACTGATATTTTTGTTAGTAGGTCAGTCATGAGCCCTGAGGTCCACGAATTCGGTAGCTGGAGGCTTTAAAATTTATTGTCCGATTTCGGATATTTTTTGTTTGGAGATGGCATATCTTAAAGGCACTACTTCTGCAAAGTTTGATTCCGATATTTTCATTGTTTAGGTGAACATAACTATTATACGCTCTGTTGCGACATCTTGCGAGAATATAACATCTTTATTATGATTTTATTTGAAAATAAAATACAAATTTTATAAAT